TCAAGTGTAAACCGACTTTTAACCTACAAGTCGTAACTGGCAAATCTTATATAAATATGTCTCTGTGCTGAAGGCTAAAGGCCTCAGACAAATGATCAGCCAGCGTAGTGAACAATTAGTGCAGAGGGCACGCAAAAGGCAAAATTCAAAAAGCTGGAAAGTAGGACATGAGGAAAGTGTCTAAAGAGTTTGACTGTGAGACACGAGGAGAGGAATGGTGGCGTGAGGCTGTAAACAGATAGCAAAGGAACAAAGAGAAACAGGACGGAGTGAGACGAAAAAAACATTAAAACTCGTTCCAAAATCATGACACAGTGGAACAGGGAGAGAATCGGGACAGTCTTTGATCCTGTTTCTGTAAAAAACCAAACTAGTATCTGTTCTAGGGAAGGCTTTGGGGAGCACACCGGGTCTCGTTTCAGGAAGAGAATCAGGAACATGTCACATTTTTTATGATCTATGTCTGCTTTGCAGCACTGATCAGGCAGTGATGATCAGGAGTTGTGTTTGTTTATCCCAGTCAGTGTCGGGGCTGCAATGCAACCCCTCTGAAAACGCTTCATTGGCCACATTTATGGTCGTGTGTGCTGCGTTTTGTGTTAATTACCACGTGATTGTGTCCTCTGTGCAGTTATATCTCCATAGAGATGCACATCAACAAGAAAGTTGCAGCATTGTATTTGTTTCTACTGTCGGGGACCACATGTAACACATTGGGACACAACCATGCGGTAATTAACACAAGCTGGATCAATACATAAGTTGGTTTGTAGGATCTACCAAGACTCACTGCAGAGCTCTAAATGAGCTGTTACCGTGATCCAATGTCTGTATTCCACAGAGGGCATAAAACATGGACATAGCTGCTGTGACTTGATTTTTGGATCTAGTCTCTTCATTTTGAAGCCTCAACTTTGGTGTCTTGGCATCTGCCATTTGGGGGTTTTGGAGCCAGAAGTCACCTTACCTGGATGACACAGTCGAGTGCAGATTTATCAACTCATTGCTATCAACAGCTGATAGCAAATTGCCTCTATAAAAAGAGTGTACGTGTGCAACAAAAGACAGAGCTGTGAAAAATTATTTGCCCACTTTCTGATTTCTGAAGGTTTTTGGGGTTTTTTTGCATATTTGTCACACCTACATTTTTCACAAATTTTTAGACAAATTTCAGACAGATTTTAATATTAGACAAAGATAAACCAAGTAAAAAGTTGTTTTTAAAGCTGCCCAGTAGGCACGCCCAGCCATGATTAGGACAAAGTCTGTGTGTGACAAAGTAAGGCTGGCTAAAAGATCTTAAACAGCTAATAAACAAAGTCACTGACATCTGTCAGTCTGGAAAAGGTTATAAAGCCACTTCTAAGGTTTTGGGACTTCACAGTCATCCACAAATGGAGAACACTCAGAAGTGTCCGAGCTACTAAAACTTCTCCAAGATTGCGTCGACGACTCATTCAGGACGTCACAAAAGACCCCAGAACAACATGTAAAAACCTGAGTTAAGGTCAGAGTTCATGATTGACTAATAAAAAAGAGACTGGAAAGAAATGGGAGAGTCCAAGGAGGAAACCCACTGCTGACCAAGAAGAACACAAATACTTGTCTCATAGTTACCAAATAACATCCTGATGATCTCCAAGAGTTTAGGAGAATATTTTGTTGAGTGATGAGGCAGAAGCGAACCTTTTGGAAGATTTGAGTCGGGTTACAGAACAGAACAGTTGGATGGATAAATAACAGCATGGTAGTAATCCTACCATAACAGGGATCATTTTGCTATTGCTGCAAACTAACAGAGAAATTTATCCATCTTCCTCCAGCTCACCGCCTGCTTCTTCTGTCAGGTGTGGATGTGTTTCACAGAGGGAGGTGGGCAACAGCGACGCCCTGTAGACAACAATAGCAGAGAGCAACATGTGAGAGGGCAGTAGCAGAAAGTCTTTTACAGCTTTTGTTACAGTCGTAGATTCATGAAATGAAAGTGAAAGGAGGGCCTTTAATGCAGGGGACAGTAATCCATAGAGAGACGGGGGCAGGGGAGAAACCTCAGCGTGTCCTGGCTGTTCATCCACAATCTTAATGCTATTAATAAATAACCTCCAGCGGGTTTATGCAAATAGAAGAGTAGGACAAAAGAAGTAGAGTTAGGAGCCACAAGAAATACAGATTGAAGTGAGAAAAGGTTGTAGAAGGTGGGAAGGTTGGAAATCACCTTGGTGTTAGCTGTAACTGTGATGACTAGTTTAGGTTTTAGTTTCGTTTTAAATCAGTTTGGTGGATTTGCAGTTTTTATGATTTGAAAATGTGTTTTCTTTAGTCAGAGGTGGACTTTAACTTAATACCCAACCACTTACAGTAAACCACTGAGTTATTTAGGGCTGCCACCATATCAGATTTTCTTCACATGATTAAAATCATTCAATGATATGATTGGATGTCTGGTACAGAAAATAAAAACTGAATAAAAAATAGCGCTAAGCTGTATTTTATGTCTGTTTTTGGCAACTCAATTAAAATAGAAGGGAGAGTTTGTATTTATAACTGTAAGTGAGCAGGTATGTACCATCAACCATCACTGGAACTACTGTAGCTGTCTCTGATACTAGTGGGTAAACAACAACTCCTATGCTAGTGTGGAAGTATACAGTACTTCTGTATACTGTGTATACA